CGCACCTGGATCTCCCGGGCCCGCCGGCAGGTGGGTCCCGCCCCGGACCCCGCCCCCGAGAGCCCGCCCAGACAGCCCCAACGCGGGGATCCCCAACCCGAGACCACTATCCCTGGAAACCCCACCCTGGCAGCAGTTCTGCCAGACCCCAGGTCCCTCTTATCCAGGGCTGTGCCCCTGGCCCGGTGGCCAGGCCCCAGGCCCTGAGTCGGCGGGGACGCAGGGCCGCCCAGGGCCCACCCCCTCTTGCCCTTTTCTGGGCTCCAAACTTGAGTGGGTTATCCCAGCTGACACTGGGCGGAGACCCTAGAAACTTCTGCAGGGCAGAGCGGGCCAGGCCCCAAGACCACAGCAGAGGCTGAGGATGGTGGCCGGCTGACGCTGTCCCCACCCACCCCGGTGCAAGCCGAAGGCCTCCTGCCTCTGCACCCTGACCGGCGCTCAGCCTGCCATGGGTCTGCCCCGCCCGCAGTGCTTGGGGAGTACCCCTCACACCACCCGCTCTCTCTTCCCAGACGTTCATCTTCACCGATGGCGACGATCCTGAGCTGCAGCTCCAGGCAGGTGAGCGGCCCCCAGCCCGGCCAGCTTGCCCTGTGGCCTCCCCTCCCAACACCTCTCATTCTCATGCCACACATCCCCTACCATCCGCGTGGAGCGGGGAGTCAGCTGCTCAGGGTCACCGGCTGGTAAAGGGCAGAGCCAGGATGCCCACCGGCTGCTGGCCCAGCGTCCAGGGCACCTCCCTGCCAGCCATGCTCTGCCTCCCTTGGCTGCTGGCTGACTTTCGGGGCCCCAAGCGAAGCCCCACCGGGAAACCATCCCTACCCCACCTTCCCACCCGTCAGGTCAGGCAGGTCCCACCTCGGTCCTGTTTCTTGCTTTCCATTCGTGGGGTTCCAAGGGGTTGTCATCTGCATCGACTGAAAAGACCAGAGGTCAGCAACAGGGCCAGCTGAGCGAAGCCAAACCAGGGCTGTGGTCAGAGCAGGCCTTGGTGCCTTAAGCAAGGTGACCTGTTGGACAGCCACGCTTTGCCCTGGCCGGGGGTGGGGTGGGCTGACTGCAGGCCTCATCCTGCCCTCATGAGTCCCCCGTCCTCCTACCCGGCAGGCGGCCACGTGGTCAACACCAACTGCTCGGCCGTGCACACCCGCCAGGCGCTGTGCTGCAAGATGTCGGTGGAGTATGACAAGTTCATGGAGTCTGGACGCAAGTGCGTGGGGGCCGGGCCCCCGGGGGGCCAGCCGGGCTGCCGCCGGGCCGCACACCGCCACTTCTCCCTGCCCCCAGGTGGTTCTGCCACGTGGACGACGACAACTACGTGAACCCCCGGGGCCTGCTGCAGCTGCTGTCCACCTTCTCCCCCAGCCAGGACATCTACCTGGGGCGGCCCAGCCTGGACCACCCCATCGAGGCTACTGAGAGGGTCCAGGGAGGTGGAACTGTGAGTGGCGGGGCTGGGGCGGGCAGCTCAGAGTGTGGAGACCCCGTGGGGAAGGGCAGGTGCCCAAGCCACGCTGTGGGGGCCGGGGCCCGGAGCCCTGAGCGGTGGCTCCGTCCTCCCCAGGCGACCACTGTCAAGTTCTGGTTCGCTACCGGCGGGGCCGGCTTCTGCCTGAGCCGGGGCCTTGCCCTCAAGATGAGCCCGTGGGCCAGGTGAGTGGGATCCGGGGGGCCTCGGCTGACCGGGTGGGGGCATGCGGCCTGCGGCGATGCTAACCCGCCTCGCCCCCAGCCTGGGCAGTTTCATGAGCACAGCCGACCGGGTGCGGCTGCCGGACGACTGCACGGTGGGCTACATCGTGGAGGGGCTGCTGGGCGCCCACCTGCTGCACAGCTCGCTATTCCACTCCCACCTGGAGAACCTGCGGAGGCTGCCGCCCGACGCCGTGCTCCAACAGGTGCGGCCCCAAGCCCTGGCCCGGGCGGGCGTCCCTGCCCGAGGGGCCTGGCCCCCCCCACCCCGCTGCCCGAGGGGCCTCATCTCCCACCCCGCTGCCTGAGGGGCCTGCCCGGCAAGGGCTCCCAGCCGAGCAAGGGTCCAGGGACGGTGGATCCCAGCATGGACCCTGGGCTTGGCCTGTTGGGACCTGGGGTTCGGCCTCACGTGGGGGCTCGTTTGTAAAGGGCGTCTGCTGTGCTTTCCCAGGCAGGCGGGCCGGGGACAGCTGGGTAGTGGGTGGTGGTCTGGGTGGTGATGGGAGTCAGGTCAGGCCAGCAAGAGGCCAGTCGTCTTTGGGGGGGGTGGGCACCTAGCCTGCTGTGGTGCCTTCTGCTGGCCGTGCCTCGGCCCTCATCACTCTCCAGCACTGTTCTAGCCCTGCCCTGGAGAGCATGCGTGGGGCCTGGGGACCCGGGAGGCCGGGCGGCCTCCGCTGGACTCCTGGAGTGGCTAGGGACCCTGGAGGATGCAGGGGCGGGGTCCAGCCCTGAGAGTGAATGGTCCTCTCCCACCAGGTCACCTTGAGCTACGGGGGCCCCGAGAACCCACGTAACGTGGTGAGCGTGGCCGGAGGCTTCAGCCTGCAGCAGGACCCCACACGGTGAGTGGGCGGCGGGGGGGTCAGGGGTGGCACCCCGGAGCCAGCACGGCCCCTCCCTGCCACCCTGACCCCCACGTCCTTCTCAGGTTCAAGTCCGTGCACTGCCTTCTCTACCCAGACACAGACTGGTGTCCTGTGAAGAAGCAGGGTGACCTCGCCTCTCAATGACCCCTTACCCCCCAGCCAGGGTGGCTCTGCCCCAGGGGCAGGTGCAGGAACAGTGCTTTGCCCTGCTGACCTCGCTCCACTCCCAGAGGCAGCCTAGGTCACGCCCACCCCACACCCAGACTCCTGGAGCTGGGCACTGTGCAGGCACGGACAGGCCCGTGTGACTAAGTGCTTTGGGGGAGCAGGGACAGTGCTGCCCACCCTGCACAGAGGGTGCAGAGGCTCTTGTGCAGGCTGCTTCTCCTCCCAGCCTCTCCGAGGCTCGCTCCCGCCAGGAGTGTCTGCGCCCTGGTGTGCGGGGGGCCGGGGGGAGGGGGGACTGGCGTCCGGCTCCCTAGACTCTGTCCTGCCCTCCTCAGCCCGCTGGAGGGGCCCAGGCCGGCGTTACGTGGGGAAGCTCCCCTTCACCCCACTCTGGGCTTGGTGCCCGAGAGGCAACCAGAGGGGGCTTCACGGTCTCCGGGGAGTAGCACTCAAGGACTCAGGGCCCCCGGCTAGTCATGCTGTGTATCTCCAGGCAGAGGCCACCTTCCTGCCTCTGCCCCTGCCCCCCCAAGGTTCCTCAGCGAGACCTCCAGACCCCTTTGCTAGGGACCTTGAAGACTCCTGTGTTCCAGCTTCATGTTTGTTGTCTGCTCCTGGCCCCAAGCCCCTCAAACAGCAGCCGCTCTGGGCCCCTCTGCAGTGTGACCGCGCCCTCCAGGTGGCTCCCCGCCTCCCCTCTGGAGGGCAGGATGGAGGGGGTTCGGCCGCTGCCTCTGGCCTCCCGTTGCGTCTTCAGCAGGTGAATAAAGGCTCGACTGTTCCTTCCGCCTCACTGTTTCGTGGAGCAGCAGCTCCCGGTGGCTCTGCCCTGGACGGGCCACACGCCGCCTGCGCCGGGCCTGGGAGTCTTCGGTGTGAGCGAGGCCGTCCCACGGGGAGTGACAGAAACGTGACAGACCGTGTCCCTAGCGGGGTCTTCCTGAGTGTTGGCTTGCTTTTTGACCGTGTGGAATGACTGCATGTGAACATACACGCATGTACGGGGCACGCGCATGTTCCCGGCTCGTGTGAATTGTGCACGTGTGTGTCGACGGCGGGGTCTGTGGGTCCCCGCTGGGTGTGGGTGCGCGGGCACGTGTGTGCATGGCCGCGCACGTGTGTGTGGACGGCTGGCAGGCAGTACCCAAGGCGCAGGTCGGCGTCGCCGGGGCTGGTTTCCGTGAGAGCCTGGGGCGCGTGGGGTCGAGCGTCCCAGGTCCTCGGGGCCTGGGACTGTGGGAGCCAGGAGAGCCCCCTGACCGCTCTGTCAGGCTCTGGGCCGAGGGCAAGTACTGGGGGTCACACAGGTGTAAGGAGTGGGGTCTCGGCAAGCCCGAGGCCGCGTCTCAGCCGCGGTCACCGAATTCGAGGAGCATGCTGCAGAACTGCTACGGCCACCGTGGCTGAGGGATGGATGTGGGAGGTGGCCCCACGGCGGGTGAGGAGGACAGATGCTCCATCCGCGGCCGCCTGGGGCTCTGCATCCTCCTGTCCCGTTCATGTCACCTCAGGATTTCCCTCCTTCCCGAGTCTGGCCCCAGGCCCCGCCCATGACACAGTATCCCAGACAGCGGGGGACGTGGACGAAAATGTGTCCACCAACAGCACGTCCGGGGGGCAGGCCTACGAGCGGGTTGTTCAGACCCAGGTTCCGGCTGTGTTCACGGCCAGACGCTTCAGAGGCCCTAGTCCCACTCGGTGCCACTGGGCAGGGGACGTCATATCTGTTCACCCTCTGCCCTGCCTACGCCACCCAAAATGCCACGGTCAAGGGCACGAAGTGGTCTTCAGGGGGCAGGCCACCCTCTGAGACCGGGCTTTGCCGTGGCTTTGTGAGCCAAGCCTGTTCCGTTTTTCCTATTTTATGGTCTAAGTTCACGTCCACTGACTCAGGCCTTGAAGCTTTTTTCCTCAGAAGTGACCGGTCACCAACTGCCATTTTGTGTTGTTGGAGTCTGATTATAAACTTTCAAACCAGTGATTTTCCACTTTGATTCAAACAAGCATTCCCAGGAGAAGCCAGCCCGGCCACTCAGATCTCTTGGGAAGAGACGGGCCACCCCAGACAAGTCACCGCCAACGTGGTCGGCTTGGTGCAGAGGGCCTGGCGGTGTGGACTGTGTGGGAAGAGAGCAAGGGCCCCCCAAACTCGAGAGTAGGGATGGAGCCCCGAAATGGGCAGCTGGGGAATCCAGGGCCCTGTGAGGGTGGAGAAGCCGGCTGGGGTCCCCTGGCATGGGGCGCCGGTCACTTGGGGAGGGGGCTTATGGGGGGTTACTAGGAACTGTCCATGCCCAGGAGCCACCTCCCACATCCCAGACGTGGACCGCACAGCAGCCCCGGGACCTGCTCAGCCACGGCCCCTCCCGCATCCACCGTCCACCGAGCTCAGACAGGTGGGGACCAAGCCAGGGGAGCAGCCCGACCACCTCCCGGCACAGACCCCTCCCTCGCTGGCTCCAGAGAGATGGTTACCCCAGGACCTCCTAGTGTCCTCCCGGGGGCAGCGGGACTGGGCAGCATCCGAGGCTGCAGAGTCTGCGGAGGTAGCTGGTCCACGTCTGTGTCAGAGAGAAAAAGCCTGGAAGGAAACGCAGCAGTGTCCATCGACAGTTGTCTCTGAAAAATGCAAACGCTGGTAAAATGTTTCTTTTCCTCTTTTCGGTTTTTAGCATTTTGTAAATAACAAAGTGTGTCTTATAACAGACGTACAGTACGTGAGTCGTTGCAGGAAGCGACACCCAACGGAGTTCGGCGCTCAGACCACTTCGTTAGAGGAAGGAGAACTCATCAGGCCGCGGAGCGGGTGGGGCGACGCTCCACGCAGAGCCCGGCCTGGCTGGATTTCTCACAGTCCGGAGACTTCTGCAGGGTCCGCGCAGGGGGCGCGCGATTCTTTTGAGGTTTCGCATGTGCCTCCTTTCTCAGGATGGGGAGGAGAACCTTCAGTGGGGGGCTGCCAGCGGGGAGGAATTTTCACACCGC